ACTAACAGATTCCAGAGCTGGGGAGTAGCCCAGCAGAATGTCAGCCTGGGTCCATCTGACTTCAGAGCCCAAGCTCTTCACCGTTCTACCTCTTCCACCCCAGAAATATTCTCTCGCACCTCAGAGAAAGCCTTACTAACAAGCAATTGCAGAACTCCGGTTTTGTTAGGCCCCTGCGAACTCTTCCACCTTGCAGGAAGGTTAAGTCCAGCCACTCTGAAAGAAAGGATATTTTAAAAAATGTACTGTGCCCCTGTGCGATGACTGAGGTGCCACGGAGCAGAAGGCACCTGACCCAGGCTTCCGCCCTTATAGGAGGTAGGCCTTTAGGGACGTGGCCCCATTCTGGTGGCCTGGAGTCGGGGTGGAGTTAGCGGAGACTGACACGGGCCTGGAAAGCACTTCCAAGTGACGTTAAGTTCGACCTCCTGCCCCCGGACAAGCCGACATGTTCACTCACCCAGCCACACAGACATCGATATCTAGAGAGCTTCAATCCTGACACTAGTGAGAGTCAAATCTATTTGCAGTGTGTGTGTGTGTCTCCCAGCCGCCCGGGTTGCACTGAACAGCATCCTCAGATTGTCAGGACCGGGGTGGGGCTGGGAGAGGGCTAATCTGATGCTGGATCTGGACCATGTGTACTCATTCAATTAATGCATCCAACTTCCACTGAACATCTACCGCAGCTCGGGTCTCTAAGACAGCACAGTTGCCAGGTGAACGTGGCAGTGTCAGAAACGATCCCCTCATTGACCCTGTACACCATTCAACCAATTTCACCTTTCAGAAGGAGAAAGGTTTGACCCAAACAGTAACACTCCCTTTCCAGAGAAAATGTTCATTCATCGCCAGGGCAAGCACTTTCCCTGACCCTCGTCTCCTGGCTCTTAACCACAGGACATCGCCTCCCAACAGCCCCTCACTCTGCTCCTAGAGGCAGAGTCAGCACAAATGTGCTAACTGATCTCTTGGCACGAAGGGGAGACTTGAATTAAGTGGTTCAAAGGCATTTTCCCTGCCTTACAATTTGGCCGTCTTTCCCTTTATGCAGTAAAATCTCCCATAGTTTGGAATTTATATGATCCTTTGGACAGGGACTGGGCTGAAGTCTGCTTCTGGACTAGTCTACATGGAAAGGATTTTCGAAGAAAATTAATAGCTTGTCCAAAGAATGGTAAAGGGAATGCATAGTCTACTTAAGGGGGCCACCTCTCTAGCCCTTCACAAACACTCCTGTATCTACAAACAACTGATATACTAATTACAAACGATAGTTACGTGCTCATTAAGTCCTCAACTACTCTTTGCTGATCAGAATATTACAGTTTGAGTTGGCCTCCGACACTAGGCTTCCCACTTTGAGCCTAAACTTCTTAGGTGAAAACTTTTCTGGGCTAAGCAATTAAAAAAGAGAATTACTTAATGCCAGGAAAACGACTATACTTCTTTGGCAGGAACAAAAGAGGGGGTCTCGTACACTCCAAGTATCTTACTGATTCATGCTGGATCTCTTCCAGATGGTACAGGGTGAGGTTTGCCTGGGATCGTTCCCATTAGAGCTTCTATCCTGGAATAGCCAACCACCCACAGGCAACCCTTTTCACTCCTGATATGAACTACAAACTTATATAGTCACTCTAGAGTTGATGGGCTAGGGATTAAAACTATGGTTTTCAAGGAATTTGAGCCTTGGCTAGACTGGCAGTGCTTGGTCATCCCTATACAAAACAGAATAATATTCCATAATGGATTGGATGTCGTACCAATCCATTCTGAATCCAGGCAATTCTTCACCAGCCCTCCACCCCCTAACTGAAAGCATCAGATCCCAAAGCAACTAACCTCCCCTCAGGGAAGGAAACATAGGACCTCAGGGAGGAAAATATGGGACTGCTCTCATCCCACCCACCCCACCTCAGTCCTGTGGCCTGTCAGGAGCTGAACTCTCACAATTTTTACGGTCAGCATTATTAGGGCGAGAAATGCGCAGGCAGGAAAAACACAATACTGGAAGGAACTGTAGATTTCCTTTGGCCATTATAGCTCTGAGCTGTTTGTTTTAGAGGCAGTGTGTATTAAACAATCACCCTGTCCCTCGCACTGTGGGAAGTGCTTTACCTGACTCAGTCCTCCTAACTCACTGCCTGAGACAGCTACGATTATTGTTTCTATTTTCAAGCTGACCAAACAGGCTCAGCAAGGTAGAGCCACTTGCCTGAGGCACTCCGCTAAACGGTAGAACCAGGTACTGGGGTTCGGGGGAAGCTCAGCTCTGAGCCCTTAAGCACCGCCTCCCACACTGCTACACCGGTTGGGACATTTGAGTCAGACATCTGCTCGCAACTTGATACATTATAAAGATATTGCCTCATCAAGTATGCCTCACAGAGGCAGAGAGGGAGGGACCAGGGGATGCTTTGCTTGGAGTAAGGTTGTATGATGTATGCATATTGCTATGAAATCAACGAATTGAATGTAAGCTTCTATCCTGGTACTAAATTATCTTCAGAAACAGACTTAAAATATCCTGGGGAAGTTCACTCAGGGGGTAGTAGCCCTCATCCATAAACAAGCATTAAGTGTGCAACCAACAGTACTGGCTGGTTCCTCCTCCCCCTCCCCCATCTCCCTGTAGACAGCTACTTGGGCAGATCCGCTGACTGTGAGCTGGGCCTCATTCACAGAACTAGACAACATTTCTGATGAGACCAAGTCCCCAGACTGCCTGCAGAGGAAGCTGCTGATGCTAAGCTCATGCCTCTGTCCCTTTCCTTCCTAAGAACTCTGCTTTAGAAACATGGTACTTTCACCCTTAAGTAAGCATAGAACCTTAAAAAGGAGGTAGAAATTGACCATCGCTGGATGTGGCTGGCGTGGGTGAAAATGTGGATGTTTCAGGCTTTACAGCCAGTCTGCTAAAAGACAACTCCAACCCAGCCCCACCTGAAGACTTAAACACAAAGTGGAATCTATCCTACAGAGAGGCCACGCCTGTTACAGAAGTATTAAAGAGGGTCCTTTCAGCACAACATCAATTAGGGACTAAATGCTCAGACTTTCACCTCGGGAGTGGTTTTCAGGGGGAAGGAGACTCAGGACGTTAGAAGACACCAGGAGTGAAATGATGCCTGGGTGGGGAGGGTTGGCTATTATAAGGGTCTCATATGGATTAGGTCAGGATTTGCACAAAGCTGCAGAAGCATGCGGGGTGGGAGACCTTGTGAGCAATTCATATGACTGAGAGTATGACCAGGAAGAAAGGCACGACAGTAACAGACTGACAGGCAAAAGGTGAAGTTACCAAGCAAGGTGGCCGTCAGGTGTGCTTATGTGAATTAAAATACCACCAGGAATCTGCTCTCCTCTCCCTGCACCCCTGAAATATATGGAACACTCGGGACCAGCTGCCACACTTCTAGTTTCCAACGAAATTTCCTCTAGTCCCTTCTACAAGGGCATATTCTTTGGCCAACGCAGCACCTGATTTGCCAACAGGAGGTGCACTCCGAAGGTGGAATGGATGGCAGAAACCCAGGAAGATAAAACCACTGATGTCAAAGCTCTCCACAAAGAACCTCCTTCCAAGCAGAGCAACGCCAGCTTCTGTTGGCATTTGGTGTTACTGTTCCCCTTCTCCAGCCTGGGTCAGAGGATGTCCCCTCATCCCAGCCACAAATACTGGCTGCTGCTGCCGCCACTTGCCGCCTGCTACATCCTGCTGGCCCGTCATGTTTCTAGACCACCCATTCCCAACGTGGGGTACCCGTTTTTCTTAAAGACCTGTATGAGCCGGGTCTCTATCAGACTATGAAAAGTTCTCCAGTCTGAGTTTGAGTCTTAAAATATAACTCCCCCATCGGTCCTCCACCCCACACCCACTGGAAACTTCAGATGCAGCTGTGCCACAACAGGCACTCTGTCCGAAGCACTTTCCCAGACATGCTTTCAATCTACTCCCTAATGCAGCCTGCCAGGATTAATAAATCCTCCAAGTGGTCTCCCCTGGTCCACTTCTTTCTTTTTCTCCCACCCAGCCACTCATCCAACACCAGCAAAAGAAGAGTTTTCATTCAGCCTTGGTTTTCGCTGACGGAGGGCACAGGCTTCTTCCTTTCATTCTCGAGCTCCTCTAAATGGAATGACTTATGAAGACACTTGGGTCTCCTCTGTACTGGGAAAGCTTCTGTTCCCCACAACCTCCTCAGCTTCACCCCACATCTTCTTCGCCCTCTTTCTGCCTTTCTTTCATCTCTTCCCTCGTCCCCCCTCCATCACACCATTCCTATACCACCGCCCAAGGATCGGTTCTTATGCCTGAGTTCAAAGCAATCAGATTCTTTTTGAAAAACCAAGTAAAACTCTCCTGAGACCATCTGCACGATCTTGGAAGGCTCCTCCCTGACTCTTGAGCTCAGACTCCTGGTTCTGCGTGCTGGAGACCAGATAATTCAGCAGCAGCCGCCGCCAGGAAGGTGTGGAGGAGGGTGCTGTTTAGGGTGTATTTGAGGGAACAGCATATGGGCTTTTGTCAAAACAGTCAGAGCTCACTAGTTTCTGAGCTGAGCATGGAAATGTGCCGCTGTCTCTGAACAAGGCTTGAGCTAGTTCAGTCCTCCTCTCTTCTTGTACAACACCGCTAACTGCCTCAAATCCACCATTCCTTCACCCCCTGTCCTCGGAGCCCTGGGATACCAAGAAAAGTTTCTCAGTCATCTCCCACCTCCACCGCCCACCCAAAGACAGCAAAACCTTTCAAACAGCAGCTGCCAGGTCAGCCGGTTGAGCGTTGCTCCCCTTAAAGACTCTCCATCTCTTCCCACCAGCTGCCACCTCACACAAGCAATTTGTTCTCCCATGTTCCAGTGGGAGACACAGAGTAGTGACGGGAAAAGACAGGCGCTCTGGCCCAGCTGCCTGCCTCCACCCCGCAGGGCTCTGGGGCACAGGCCAGAAAGGGGGACCATCAGGGTCTCCCCTCTCAAGCAGGAGGTCATTACCTTGGCAGCGGCTTGCGGGCCGTGATACTGGCGACAATGATGCTCTCGGGACGCGGGGTGGCCACGGCTTTAAAGGTTCCTCGCCAGAACTTCTCAAAAAGCTGTTTCTCTCCTTGTTGAACGCTCGCCATGGCCAACCAAAAGGGCCCGGGGCTCCCGGGCGCTGTCCGAAGTGCTGAAACGAGGCTTCCGAACGGGGGCACACCCGGCCCCGCTCTCTGTCCGTGTGAGACCGAGAAGGGTGGGGTGGGAGAGACAGGGGCTCAGGGCGGGGGATGGGCGCCTCAGCCCGGGCCGGCAGGGGAGGAAGAAGGCTTGTGCGCCGGTTCTCTCCGCCTTCTGGGTCGGCTCTGGGCTGCGCTCTGAGCTTGCAGAGCCTCGGCGCCCCAGGACGGGAACGTTGGGCTGGCTTTCTCGGCAGCGCCGGAGAGAAGAGGCGACGGGGTCGTCCGTGTGTGCGTGCGCGTGTGAGCCCCGGAGCGCCCGGGTTTTGTCTCTCTCACAATGTGACGTTGGAAAAGGAGGCTGGTCGCGCGAGCCGCACTTTGCTCCCCCCTCTCCGCCTCTCCGCCGCCCCACCAACTCCCTCCGCCTCCTCAGCCTCCAGCCTCCATCTGCATAACAAAAGCCCGCAGGTCGAGGGAGGAGAAAGGGCGGGGCGCGCCTGTCACCGGGGCCCCGCGGCTACGGAGTTGCCGCGCTGACCCCTGAGGAAAGCACTCGCCGCACCCCGAACTGAACCGGGCGTGAGATCCTGCTTCCCAGCCCCCTCGCCTCCCCCGCCGCCGCGGGCCTTCCCCCTACCCTCTGCGGCGTGCTCTCTGGGCCCGCCGCCTCCCTCCCCAGCCCCTTCGCGAGTCTTGAAGAAGATCCTCTCTCAAGGGAGAAAAAAAACTTAATCTATCCG